GCCTGTCTTCTCTCTTCTCCTTTGTTTCACTGCTTTCCATTCTCCGATGCTGCCTTCTCCTACTAGCCGTAGCACTCACTGTGTGTCTACCTTTGTCCTGCGAGGAGAGCGAGTGTTTGAAAGCTCCAAGGAGCCAAGTCCCAATACCGGCACGCCGGCACTGCACCTAATCGCCAAAACTCACGAACTTTAAATCGCACACGCCTCCCTCCCCAGTCCCCTGTCCCCTGCACTGCGCTCATCAAGCTTTGCTCGCCCAAGTAGCCAAGTGATTGTAGCACGAACTATCTAGCCATGAGATGGGGCATTTGGAGGCAGCATGCAGCGCTGTCTGCGCGGTGCGAGGGAGAAAATGCAGAGGAGAGAGGGGGCAAGGGCAAGGGCAAGGCGTTCTCATTCTCCCCTGTATCGTGGCTCGCCAAGCTCGCGGCCAAGGAGAAGCCCAGTGCGGCCGCAAAGCGCGCGTCCACACCCACGCCCACGCCCAAGAACACCGCCGCGGCGGATCCCGCGTTCCCGTCGTCGTGCCTCCCCAAGCGCACCAGCCCGAGCCCTGCGGCGGTCACGGTCACGCCAGGCTCGTCCAGCCCGCCGCGTCGCTCCACGGCCGACGCTGCCGTGCCGCGGCGGCTGTCGGTCGGCAACGACAATGCCGACTCCGTCGCCGCGCGCCGGCACGGCCGCCGCCACTGCTCCGTCGGCGGGGACCGTGAGCTCCCGCCGCTGGGCCGCCTGATCCCCTTCTCCCTCCTCGCCGGCGGCTCCTCCCCCGCGCGAGCCGCCGCGGCACCGTCGGACACGGACGCCGCCGGGGCGGGGGCGAGGCGGCACCGGCGCCGCCGGAGCAGCCGGCGCCTCAGCGTGAGCGGCGGCCGGAGGCCGTCCTTCTCCGGGAGAATGCAACCCCCGCGGGTGCGCGTACGGTCGCCCCGGCGCGCCGCGCCGGCGGAGCTGGAGGGTCTCGCGGTGGTGCGGCGGACGCGGGACCCGCAGCGCGCGTTCCGCGAGTCCATGGTGGAGATGATCGCGACCGCGAGCGGCGGCGGCGGGCCCACCGCCGTGCCTCCAAGGCCCGAGGAGCTGGAGCGGCTGCTGGCGTGCTACCTGTCCCTGAACGCGGACGAGCACCACGACTGCATCGTCAAGGTGTTCCGCCAGGTCTGGTTCGAGTACGTGAACCTGCTGCCCCGCCTGGAGGCCGGCGGGAGACGACGCCCTCCGACGGCACGGCGCTGCTGATCACCCGACACGACGACACTGCATGCACCTGCCACTGCCAACTGCCATTGCCAACGCGTTCCCTGACTCCCACTGGCCTGTCGGCATCAGAGTCCCACGCAGAGCTGATTCAAATGTCGATTGCCATGCCATGGTTGTTGTGTAGTGTAGCCGGCTGTATGAGTGCGTGCGCCAAGTTGCGCCGGCGCCCGGCGGCACGTGCGGCGCGCCCTGAGCTGGTTGAGCCTGAGGTGCTTTCTTGTCAGCGTGCGGCGGCGGTGCATTGAGGCGTGGCGTCGATGGATTTAAGTAGAGCTGGAGGTACAGTCCAGCGCGAGATCTCAAATTGTCTGGTGTGGCGGCATGTACTGTAGTAGCTGCATGGCACTGGCACCGGCAGTGGCAGCTGTAGATTCCAAAACTCCCCAGTTTCTAGAATTCAAATATCTGAATCACGCTGTGCCGCCCTTGTTTTGTTTTGTTGTTTGCTGTTGTGTTGTGCACCGGGAGCTGGTGGCTCGGGTCACGGATTTGCTTGGGGCGGCGGCATCGTTAGTTTAGGCCCCCTTCGTTTCCTGGGAAACGACCCAGAAATAATTGCCAGCCGGAATCGTTTCTTTAATTTGTATAAGTTTTCCATGGTTGGAATGATTCCTGGTGTCGTATAGACCTAACTTAACGGAGCCTTAGGACCCGTTCGTCGGAAAGAGAAAGGTTCCCAGAATTAATTTCTAGCCGGAATGCTATTCTATTTTATATAGTCTTTGATCATTCCTGGTGGAACTGGCGTAACCAAACGAGGCCTCGGTGAGATCAATCCAATCGACAACAAACGACAGCCGGAAGACCCCCAGCTGAAGAGAAGGCTGTGTGTGGTCTCTGTCTATGGGCCTTCATCCTCGTGGACTCGAACTCGTTGATGGGCCAGCGCCCAACCCAACCATCAGCAAGGGAGCTGAACCAGCAGATGGCCCAACGCCATCAGCACGCGCGGCTGTCAGAAACGTTCGGATGGGGAGTCCCTCTCCCGTCTACCACCACCAGAATCGTCGCCCGTCGGTGCGGTGGCCGGGTGGGCGAGCCAAAGGCGGGTGCAACACCCAGATCACGAGGATAACGCCGACGCCGGCCGGCCCGCCGCACGCGATCTCACGAGCGTATCCGCCAAGCGCCAAGCGAAAGACTCTTTTGGTTTCGCGACCTCACGAGCGTATCCGCCAACCGGCCTGGTTGAGTTATCCACCTCACGAAACCTCGTCCCGCTAGCCGATTCTTTTTTTGGTTTCGCCAAAATCCAGTCCATTTTAAAAAAAAAAAAAAACATCCTATGTTTTCCGTGTATAGAGTACAGACAGAGTCCGGCTAGGCAGAGCTTCCCAGTTTGCCACATCCAAACCCTGTCGATACGGATCCAACCTAGCACGCTGAAATGCGCTCATGGACAATAGGCGCACGAGTACACGATCATCAAAACTCGCAGCAGGCACAGCCGAGTGCTGTCGTATCGATTTATACAGCGATAGTACCTACGATCCCAGCGAACACTTGTGACGACACGAGCAAAAACGAATGCACACCTGGCCTGGCCTCAATGTTCTTTGCTTATTAATTCCTGCGTCCTCCGTTCCGAAATGAGTAAATGACGATGCTTTAGTTTTGTTTCAGAATCAAATTTATCTAGATTTAATCAAGTATGCTGTCGTTAAATTAGTTTTATTATTACATCCACCTTAGAATATCTCATTTGTTTGGTGTTTCAATAAACTTGGTAAATATGATAGAAGTTTGTTTTTTTTCATTAGAAAATCAAAACAACTTATATTTTGGAACAAAAGAAGTCTCATCACCTTAAAGGGAGATCGAGACATGTCTAATAAATACATTTCTCCATTACTCATATATAACCAAAGTTTATCAAAATTGATACTTGAGTTCTCGGTGCTATAGATAAAATTATCGAGGATTTCTGTACTAGAGGAAAGAGAAGCGGACGATTGCGATTGCTAGAGGAGGCTTCCCCGCTGTTGCATGCGTACGAAGGACACTCGTTGCATCAACTATGGCTTGACAAAGATGGATATCTCACGTCCTCTTAACAGATAGATCTACATGGCCCTTGGGTACCCAAAATAACTAAAATATAGCTATGTGCTGCTAGTGGAACTCTGGAAATGTAGTGTTGTGCTTTAGACTTGCGAACGTGTGTCTAGTCATTTTGTTAATGTCAAGTTTAATTGCAAATGTAGTGTTGTGTTTTAGACTTGCGAACTTGTGTCTAGTCATTTTGTTAATGTCAAGTTTAGTTGCTATCTTTGTCTTCTATAGTTCTATGTGATATAATTATGTGAAATGATGTCAGAATTTCCTGCAAATTTGTTTATTGACTTTACATATATTGGTCGGTCAGTTCTGCCATAACCGAGATCAAACCGAATTAACCAAGACTAAAATTGTTCGGTCTTGAGTTTCCTAGGTAACCAATCTAGATAACCGAATTTAGTCAAAAACCGAAGAAGCGAACCGATCGATTCGGTCAAACTGAATGCCCACCCCCTACTTATCTCACCAGCAACTCATGTTTTTATATTGGCCAATGTTGGCTGTCATTATGCTAGCTAGGCTCACCTGGGTTATTGACATAATGCCCACGACACCTACCAAGTGGCGGCCCTCGGCCTAGGTGCCTCTATGCTCTTAGATTCATTGTAACTACTATGAAATCCTTCCATCTTGGTATCCCTCTAAGTCCAAGAATGAGCGAACCTTGGACTAATTCTCTTGAGTGTTTTGGGTTCTAAGTCCCCGTGCCTTACCTAATTGTTGTTGCTAGTAAAGAATTATGAACCGAGCTCATCAAATACACTAGTCAAGTTAGCACTTTTTCCTCAGGTCAGGTCAAGGTGGCCCATGATCAGTTGTAATCTAACCCTAGTCATGTGGAGAAAACACTTTGTTAATAAGCTCATGGTTAGAGCACTTGATTCATATATGAGATTAAAATGAGAGAAATTGAAAAAAAAATCAAATATAAAACAAGCGAAAATAACTGGTTTAAATATCAGTATCATATAAGGATCCATTTTAAACATAAAAATAATCTGAGGTTGCATCCATCTGATGTAGGAATACACTAATGTGCAACCTTAAAGAGAGAGACATTCTTCACCTTTTATTTAGAACTGTGTATAAAAGGTGAAGTTGTTGGGTCTTATTAGGTGTTTACAATTGTCTAGCTTCGTTTATATTTAATAAAGTCCATCTTCTATTGTTTTTTTTAAATAGCATTTCCTGTTTTGTAATATCTAGGTGTACAATCAAAAAACTGTTTTTTTAAAATAGCTTTCCTGTTTCTATATCGCCAAAACATGAGGAGTTTTGAGAGTTAAGAACCGAAAGTAAGTCCCTGTCAACCACTCTTCCGTCTAATTAATCATGACCCCATTGGTAACTAACAGCCGTTAATGATGGATTAATTGGCTAATAAAATGTAGTTTCCATGTAACTATGTATTAGTTTTTTTGTATCCACTTCTTCCAACTATGATGTGAGCTCAAAATTTTTTTCACTGCGAACTAAACACACCGCTCAACCACTCTTCCGTCTTCCAGTTGGCAACTGGCAACCACTAGTACTGCTCCAGCGAGATCCAGACCCCGCTCCCAATTCCAGTGACACTGCACCACCCGGCTCCAGCGAGATCCAGACCCAAAACCCCACCTCGCCTACGCTAGCAGGCTAGCAGCAGCCAACCTCTGCCTGGGAAGGGGAAGGGAAGGGAAGCAATGGCTGCCAACGGAGGCGGGTACCGGGCGGAGGACGACTACGACTACCTCTTCAAGGTGGTGCTCATCGGCGACTCCGGCGTCGGCAAGTCCAACCTCCTCTCCCGCTTCACCAAGAACGAGTTCAGCCTCGAGTCCAAGTCCACCATCGGCGTCGAGTTCGCCACCCGCAGTCTCCAGGTCGACGGCAAGGTCATCAAGGCCCAGATTTGGGACACCGCCGGCCAGGAGAGGTACCCTTTGATCTGCTCTGAACGTCTTCGCTTGGCGTCCGCGATGCAATGGTGTAGATTTGTTCTCTACTTTCTCGTGCGCTCCGCCAGTGGTGAGCAAAATGTGATCTTGGGAGCCTCCTTGGCTCCTTTGCTTGATCTTGGGAGGCTGCCTTACTGTTTGGTCGCGGTTGCTTGTTTAGGGAGCTAAATTTCGTAACGCTATATTGGCAATTGCCACGATTGGTGATCTGGAGGCGATTTCCATATATACTGATATTTACCGAGGTAAAATCGCTGAGAAATCCCCCCAGCGTTGGCAGGATTTTCGTGAAAGACGGGATCTTAGGGGTGGTCCATCACTTGTGTGGTTCAGATGTCTATTAGCTGTTTCTACTAGGTAGATGGGTGGGCACATTTTGATCTTTTGTGGTTGAGATGTCGTTTCCTGTCATATACCTTGTTAGCAACTGCACAGCAGGGTAAATTTCTTTGTCCTTTGGTGTCTATCCATTCTATTTGTGGCTCTGCTTCCTTCCCAGACAAAATAGGGGCTATGTAGGTTGTCATATTTTGGAACTATGTTATCAAGAGATCTCACTGCAAACTAGATGCTAACTGCTCAATGAGTTTGATGCTACTAACTGAAACCAACCATGCTAAACTTTTAGTTTTGTCCAACATTTTACTTTGGCCAAGTCCGTAGAAAAATGTACCAACATCTAGGATACCAAATAAATGCGTTATTAAGACATATTTCATGGTGGTTTTAGTGATTTTTTATGCTCTAAATGTTGGTGCATTTTTCTATAAACTTGGTCAAAGTTAGATAAGTTTGTCTTTGGACAAAACTAAAAACAACTTACATTTTGATTTTTTAAGACATGAGAAGTTGAGGGTGCTCTAGAATTGTATATTTTCAGAATTGTCTTGCCTCAACTTCAGATTTTCATACATGAGATGCCGATAAACAAATTTGCTGCTTTGTGATATTTCATTTCTAATCCATAAGCAAACATGCAGTTACACAGTTTGTTTATAAGCAAACAGTCTCATGCATTTTGTTTGACGGCTTTTGGAAGGTACATTGTACAAATTAGCCTGTATCCCTTCTCCACATCACAATGTTAGTTGTACTGAATATGAATCGGAAGTGGTATTAGTGGCTATTTCTTTTTACCTTTTTTCATTAGTTTAGCATCTCATAAGCTGTTTGAGATGATTAATGTCAGTATGTTATCCAGCTAGTTCAATCAGGAATTGTTTTCTTCTTTTTTGTGCCAGAACTTTGTTTGGAGTTTGGACAAATCAGCTGAGAACAGCCTTGTCAGAGGTTGGTTAGCAATACCTGTGTGTGTTTTCCGGCTCGTTAATGGAACTATGGTCACACTATTTGAAACTACAATTTACCATATTGCTGAATTAAGTGGATCTAGAATGGTCACTACTTATAAGTTATAACTAGTAGCTGCAAAAACTCTGGAGCTGTCCACATCTGTTTTTTGGTGGATTTGCAATTCAGGCTGGTTTACCTCTCTCCTAGGTGATTGACATGTCCGATCTCATTTGCAAAACCATCACAAGAAGATAGAAAGGAAAGATAGTGTCCATTTGATAATCTTCTCATTGTTTTCTGCTTGTTTTTCAGGTACCGTGCTATCACAAGCGCCTATTACCGAGGAGCTGTAGGGGCATTACTTGTGTATGATGTCACCCGCCGTGCTACATTTGACAACGCGGGCCGTTGGCTAAGGGAGCTCAGAGACCACACTGACCAAAGCATCGTTGTGATGCTGATTGGCAACAAGTCTGATCTCCGACACTTGGTGGCCGTCTCAACTGAGGACGCGAAGGAGTTTGCCGAGGCCGAGTCCATGTACTTCATGGAAACATCTGCCCTCGACGCCACCAACGTGGACAACGCGTTCTCAGAGGTGCTGACCCAGATATACCAGATCGTGAGCAAGAAGACGGTGGAGGCACCAGAGGAAGGCGCGGCTGGCCCAGGCAAAGGGGAGAAGATAAACGTGAAGGATGACGTGTCTGCGATGAAGAGAGTTGGGTGCTGCTCAAATTGAGGCGAATACAAAACGGTTTGTTCATTTTTCATGTAGGTATGGTACGGTCGGCTTGTGGGAAATTTTTATGTTAAAACAAATCAGTTCGATTGTCTTTCTTGTGGTGGTAATGAGGGTTAGGGTCAGTCAAACCGTTGAGACTCAGTTTAAATTATTTATAAGCTCTGAACTTGTGCTTCTGTCAAATTCAATCATTTGGTGTTCTTGGCTTGCCTACTATACTGCGATATTTTTGTTAACTGAAGAATTTGCCAACCAATCCTTTTATCGAACAGAGGAATTTGTGTGTGCTTACTAACAGAAGAACACGAACCGTCTCTATAAAACATTGATCAAGTGAAGTTACAATACTCGTGTACATGAAAGAATCAATTCTTAAAAGTTGTCATAAGTCAAACTTTTTAAACTTTGATCGAATTTATAGAAAATAACATCAAGAATTATGATATCAAACTAGTATCATTGATATATCATAGAATATATTTTCATAATATGTTCATTTTATGTCATAGATGTTGTTATTCTTTTCATAAAGTTAGTCAAACTTAGCACGGATTCTAGGAATTGGTTTATTTGAGGACAGAGGGAGTACATTTTATACGTGCAATCAATTTAGAGATCTGTATAACTACTCCCTCCGCCCACAAAAGAATATAATTATAAGATCCGTGTTGGTCAAACTTCTAGTTTGACCAAATTTATAGTAAATAGTATTAATATTTATGTCTTTAAATAAATTTATTATAAAAATACATTATATAAACTAATCAATGATACTTATTTTGTATTATAAATATTTGTGCTTTTTTATATAAAGTCAAACTTCAGACTGTACGACGCATTCTTGCGTGGATGGAGGGAGTACGATGGATCTCTGGGCCGAATTGTCCTACCGTGCTCGGCTCACCTACAGCTTCATCTGGCTATACACCGATGCAGCAGCAGTGACCATTCATCCGGACCAGACGGAATCAGCGGCCTGGATCAGCTGCGCGCAGACGAGGAACAGCGACGCCGGCACGCCGAGCAGCAGCATGGCCAGCAAGCCGGCGCCGAGCCCCGGGCGCGTGTTCACGAGGAGCACCTCGAGAAGGCCGACCGCGCTGCGCACGCCGGCCACGTAGCTCCCGTGGTGCCGCCGCTCCAGCTCCGTCCACTCAGTCGGCAGCGGGATGCCGGCGCCGGGGCCGGCATCGACGTCAGCGTCATAAGTGTCATTCTCCTCTGACGAGGACTTCGCCCGCGCCTTGCGGATGCGCCGCCGCAGCGTCGCCATGTCCTCGTCCACCAGCCGGCCGCCCTCGGAGGAGGACGAGCCGTTGTCGGCGTGCCGCCCGACGCCGAGGGGCACGGCCCTGTTCCCGCCGCCGCTGCCGGCAGCGCGACGTGGCAGCCGAATGGGAGGTGGCACCAAGAAACTGCTCTTGGGGTTGGAGATCAAGCGAGTAGGGGCTGAGCCACCAGTAGCTCGGCTTGCTGCTGCCGGCGCCATCGCCATCACCTGCTGTTGCTACCGCCGCCGCCGCCTGCACTTCACAGCTAGCCCTGCGACGTACGACGGTTACGAGATTGTGTGCCAAATGCGCGCTGCCACGTCCCACCGCCGTGCGCGGCGCGTGATATATATGGCGAGATGCCCGGGGCCGGGGACAGGCGGGACAGGGAGGGTAGTGTAACGTAGCGGGACTTGCGCGCGTGATTGGGCGAAGGGAAAACGTGGGGAGAATGGTTAGCTAGGCAGCACGGCAAAGGATCTGTCGACAACCGTGTGCGGGCCGCGTCCTTCACGTTCGTTTAGCCGGTTAGCCCGCCGTCCGTGTTCTCATGCGTGCTCACTGGTCACTGCCCGCCCGACCGCCGGACGGGACGTGCACGGGCCTGCGTCGTTTTTTCGATTTTATAAACAAATATCTTCATTTTTCCTCGCTTTCAACGTGCCTTTATGGGCACTGCGCAAACCAGCAGGCATGAGAACGAGTCGACATCGGCAAGGTCTGTGTTTCTCAGCCTCACAGGTCATCCCAGTTCCCATGTCTTTCGACTCGAGAAATGAGAACGCTCTGGGTCTTGGATCTTGATTGCCTATTTGCTCCAAATGAAATTCGAAGGATGGCTATACTTGCAGACGCGTTTTGCATTGAATTTATGGTGACAACTGGCCAGAAGGGAAGGCATTTGGAGCAACTCGCTTTGAAGCAGAAAGCCAGGAAAAGGGCGTTTTTTGCATTGAATTAACAGTTAACATCTCTTTTCTATCCAGAACGGGGGTAGCAACTCGCATTGAAGCAGAAAGCCAGGAAAAAGGCGATTCCCAGACAGACATTCATTGCCCTGTTCACTTAGCCCCGATAAGCATGCAAAAGATTGGCTGATTTGTGCGTGAAAAAAAATATGTTAGATTAACGAAAAATCGGCTTATAAACCAAGCGATTGGTGATATGACACAAAACCTGATTTGTCGTGAAAGAAAAATATTGTTCGTTAACTGAAAAAGTACGGTTTATAAAGTCAAGCGAACAGGGTGATATACTCGTCCCACACAAAACCATAAAGGATGAACTTTAGTTTATACTTACTCTTATTTTGCCCAATTGTATTCACAAGATATGACGCTACTGATGAAACTGCACAAAGTCCACGGATTGACAGCATGGGGCAGACGCCCTTGGGTACCATAGCAGGAGACTGGAAATGTAACAAATGGAATACAGATCCGTAGATAACCATGGAGGGCCAGCAATGTCAAAGGTATTGTTTGATTACTGCATAGCCGGTGATGATCACAACGCCCTCGTGATGCCTCATGCCTTAACAGCAACCAGATGATCTCTGGGCCCGGTTGCCACCCACCACATCCACGGTATCTGGCACATACCTTCAAGAACAAATCGATAAGATCAAAAAAGGGGGCGCAGAAAGAAATACAACCAAAAGAAACAAACGAATGGTGCTAGTCCTGAAACTATGCAAACATATCCCCCACGAAAAGAACCAGCACATGGTTGATGATTTGACATAGATAATACTGAAAAAGAGACCAACAGAAGTTGTCTATTTTCCCAACAGAAAGTTGTCTATTTTCAAAATGTTACTACTCTAGTCTTATTGCAGCAAATGATGCTAGTCCTGGTATGATGCAAACAAACCACCAAAAAGAGCATCAGCAAAAGGTGACTAATTTTGTTGATGACTAACAATTGGAGCAAAAGACCAACAGGACCAATTGATATTTCAAACATAACTACTCTTACTGCAGTGCTCCATTTTCTAGTATTTGGACTGATTAATGTCACATAAAACCAGTGCTGTCAAATGTCAATCAAACATGCAGAGAAAGGAGAATCAGTGTGCTTACAATTCTTCCTCTGGTTCATTCTTCAGAGCGTTCTTTACGATACACTGGAAGGCATCTTCCACGTTCGTTCCATCCTTAGCAGATGTCTCAAAGTACGGGATGTTCCCTTTAGAAGCACACCATGCCTTTGCCTTTTTCTCCGATACCTAAAATGAAAGCAGTTTACATTTCTAATCAGTACAATCTAGTTCAAGAGAAGAATTTACTCAGAGAGCAAATCATGTAGCGGTATTTACCACACGGCTGTTGCCACCATCTACATCAACTTTGTTACCCAACAAAACAAAAGGGAAATTATCAGGATCTGATGGGCTAGCCTGCAAAGGGAAACATCCAAAGTTAGACAAAAAAAAAAAGGATTGTTATGAGACAGAACTAATAAACCATTGGAAATATTTCACCTGAATTAGAAACTCTTCACGCCAGTTGTTCAGGTTATCAAATGATTTCATAGAATTAACATCATAGACTAGGACACAACAATCTGCTCCCCGGTAGAATGCAACGCCAAGACTCTGAAACCTTTCCTGACCTGCAGTGTCCCATATCTGCAAAGACATATTAAACACCATAAACCAGCAGATACAAGATGACTGGTAGAAAATTCATCTCTTCACATGAGATTAATCTGAATCTACATAGATTCCTTATGTAACCAATAGATTCGATGAAGATGGTCCTTTATTAAGAAGCAGACAAAACATAAGAAACCACTTCAAATAGTTAGACAGTTATGATATGTAGAGACTGTATGTAGAAGGTTTGAAATGATCTGAACAATCATTTGTTAATTAACTGAAGAAAAGATTACGGGAAAGTATAAAGAAGGGTGACTAATATAGCTGCCAAATGCCCCTATGGCCTATGCTAATAGAAACAACATCATGCCAACATAAGCAGTGAAATCTGATTCACCAGTAAAGAATGAAAAATAATGCAGACGCCTAGAAGTTCTAAAGAGTACACCTTTGACTAGTAGTGTTTTTCTCATGGAATATTTAGGAGGAACATTTTCTAGCAGGAATACTTCACTACAATGTTGCCAACACGGTAAACCAATGGAGCAAAAAATTGATGAAACTGACTTATTGTCAACAGGAGCTAGATATTTCAAGTGCAAACAAACTGCCTAAACAAAACAGCATACTGAGTAGACTGAATCGGCAGCAACAAGCACGATGCTATGGCCTAACAAGCAAGCATTCAAGTGTTCAGCAGCAAACATCCTCTCCTGTACTTTTTAAACATCACAGCTGATCAGTTCGCAAACTAATTAATAAAGTACAAATCGGGGCTGGAGTTGACCTAAAGAAACCGAACTACTCGCATAGCACGACACAGCATGGCCAGGGGAACCAAACCAATCTTACCTGCAGAGTGAAGAGCCTGTCCTCGAACTGCACCTCCTTGGTGAGGAAATCCGCGCCAATCGTAGCCTTGTACTGGTTGCTGAACTTCTTGTTCACATATCTGAATTACATCACAGCTCAAAGAAAACACAGCCCAAGCGGCCAAACCATCCAACCAGAAGAATAATAAAAAAAATCAACGGAACGAAATCAAGTCAGCTTGTCAAGAATCGATCTGAATCGCAGGATACTGGTTCATCAAGGACGTCTTCCCAACCCTAGATCACAGGAAACAGAGGTCAGACAAAAGCTAAAGCCCTCACAGGGGGGAAGGGGAGATCCGAAGCGCTCACCCGCTGTCGCCGAGGATGATGACCTTGAGCAGGGTGCGGCGGCGCGAGGCCATCGGGATCTAGGGCCCCCGGGGCGGCGATCTCGCGTGCGGCGACTGGAAGGGGGAGGGAGAGAGACCGAGAGGTAGACCTGGCCACAGAGGGAGTCGGGGAGTTGGGGTTGGGCGTCGCGCGATGCGTTGCGTTTTGTGGTGGGCGCTGGAACGACAACAGGGAAAGGAAGCAAGGGAGACCCGCGGAACGGGACGGCTTGTGTGATGAGGTGGCGACCACACCGTGGGCCACAGCAGGAGCAAGCGCATCAGTTTTATTTGCGATTGTTTATTTTTTAAAAAAAAATATTTTTTGAACTAATCAGCTTGATTGCTGCCTTTAATTTTTTTCTTTTTGCTGCCGGCCTGCAACAACAGCCAAACAACAAAGCAGCCCAAAGCTGAATACAAATGCTGCATCCTCGGGTCCTTTCCACAATTCTAGCCTCCAAAATATATTTTGATTATAACTTATTTTTGTTGTTTTACTAAAGTAGGTTTTATGACTAATCTACATGTGATGTCTAGACTAAAACTTTAGAATTAATTTGATTGTAAAAATTGTAAGAATTTGAATTTTATCTTGTTCAAATAACGGGAAATATAAAAAATGGAGGGAGCGTATAAAATTATAGATACTAGTTCATCAACACTTATTCTTGCATGGCTAATGATTTTACGAGATGAGTCTTAGAAATTAATAAAAAATTTAAGAACCAACATGGCTAATGATTTTACGAGATGAGTCTTAGAAATTAATAAAAAATTTAAGAACCAAAATTATATATCTTTGTTCTCTCTAATTTGTACATATGCAATACCCATAGAAATATTTCTTATCATTGTCCGTCCGTATTATTACTTATAGTTATACGATACTTTATATGTTTCTTTTATTCATATATATCCATAGGCTTCTGTTCTGTACTGCACATTTAGTTGTAACCTTAACTTAAGTTAATTATGTGTTTAATGCGGTAGATGTCATCATCGCTTATAAGTTCTAACATACATTTATACTAAAAGCATACCTCCCGTGCCTACGTTGCTGTGGGATTGGCGAATGAGTTTCAGTGAATGGTGTGGTATGCTAATGTGGATAAATAAATATATGTTAATGGATCATATGATTTGTTGACGTAGATAGCCTACATGAATAGATATGTGTCATAAGTACATGAGCTAGTGGACTGCTGATAAGATGGCTTGAATGTGGAGATATAACATTCTAGTGGGGTTTAAGATTATAAGATATATAAATATAAATATAGATATAGATATAAATAAAAATTACTGATAAGACATTGTTCATTTATTACTTTAATCAATTTTTTTATGTTTACAATAACAAACATCATTTACAATATTTTTGAAGTGATCTGGGCTATTTTTTTTATAGTGTTAGATCTAGATGTAGTTGTTTAGATGCAAATTTATGTTTTATTTTTATTAATGTTAGAAATGTATAATTTAGATGCAAATTGAGATGTAGCTCTATTTCATTTTAATACTATCAGAGTTGAGTAATTTATTAGAGGTTACTTTAGATTATTTTTTATTATGGCATACATGGTTAGTTTAGATGATGATTAGAGGCTCTCTTTTTAACAGTACATGTGAGTAATTTAGACGTAGATTTAGGGTACTCTAGTTGAGAGTATCCATAATGGTAGAGGTTAGATATAAATTTAGATGTTATCTTGGGTCCGTTTGGATGTAGATATTGGGGGAGCTAGAATTGAATTGGCTTCAATACCAAAGCCGCCATGTATTGAAATAGACACAATTCGAATACTATTGTTTGGATGACCATTGAATTGGCTTTTAGAACCTAGGAAGCATCTCAAATCAGATTTCTGTTTGGATGTAAAAGCATGAAATTGAAATGGTAGGGAAGCTTGACCCCATCCCATCCCAGCTCCATCACCGGAGGACGTAGCCACCGGTAGGCCTCCCTAGGACACCCGTCGGTGACCTGTGACACTTGCCCGCTCGCCTAGGACACCCGCACCGTGCAGGAGCCCTCTCGGCGGCCCCGCCGCGCATGCATCGGAGTCCTCCCATGGCCCCACATCACGCAGGAGCCCTCCCGGCGGCCCCGCACCACGCAGGAGCCCTCCCGACGCCCGATTCGAAGGCTGCAATGGAGGCGATGCCCGATTCAAAGGCTACAACGGAGGCGGCGCTCGATTCGAAGGGTGCGAGTACTGGAGCCGGCCTCGGGGAAGACGAAGAGGAAGAGGAGCTCGCGTTGTCGGCCATGGGGAAGACGAGGTCGCGCCGCTGACACGGGAAAGACGAAGAGGAGCTCGTGCCGCCTACCATAGGGAAGAAGAGGAGGAGCACACGTCGCCGATCACGGGGAAGACGAGCTCGCGCCGCCGCTGCGTCACGCGCGCTTGCGCCGCTGTCCGCCCCACCTCACACGCGCTCGGGGAGTGGGTGTCGAGGATGAGTCAATTCCACCCAATACAAAGGGGGAGAGCTTCGTATTGGAGATGAGGGAGCACATGCACGGTGAATACCGTTTGACATTGAGGATGAATACCAATTCCGAATTCCAAACCATCCAAACAGTTGTATTCGGGGATAGCCAATATCAATTCCAATTCTGAACCCTGAATATCTACATCCAAACGGGTTGTTAGAGTCTTTATAGAATCACATAGTTATTGTTATTGTCGATAACGGTAAAGTTTTACCAAAGATTTTGCAAAGACACGTATTGTGAGGATGATGTGGAGATTAGTATCTGGCCTATCATTCATGTGACTTCAGGCTATTATGGTGTTGGGGGTCTGGATAGAGATAGATAATTTGACCGGCTGGTGTAGCAATGATAGCAATCGAAAGCTTAAACTAATATGGTGTTTTGATACAGGGACTAAAGTTTAAGAGGTGTTATATCGGATGTCACATGTGGCATCGTATGAGGTATTCGCATACTAATAAAAAAACAAATTACAGATTCCGTCAGTACTCCGCGAGACGAATTAATTAAGCATAATTAATCCGTTATTAACACATGTTACTGTAGCACCATATTGTCAAATCATACAGCCTTTTCGTTTCGGCTGAAACGATTGTGGATTATTACTGCTGACTGGTTTAGTGTGAGAGAAAAATATTGTTCTGGCTTATAATCCACGATCGTTTACGACCAAGCGAACACGCTGATAGACTAATTAGGCTTAAAAATTTCGTCTCGTAAATTAGCCTCAATCTATGTATTTAGTTTCATAATTAATCTATATTTAATACTTCATACATATATTTAAACATCCGATGTGATATAAGCTAAACTTTAACGGCAGCCAAACACCCTCTAACTGTCCACCTGGCATTCAACAATCTCTGGCAGCACAAGAAGCAAAAAGGCACGTGGGACTAACAAGAAAAGTTCCATACAGCTAATCTCTATCACCAGACGAATCAAGCCGCTACGTCTCACTAGAATATCCTGTGTTCTCCAAAACTGACTGAAAGTCTGCACTTTGAGCAAAAATTTTAGGGGGTGTTTAGTTCACCCCCAGTTCCAAACTTTGACACTATCAAAAAGAAGATTCTCCATCACATCAAACTTACGGTATATGTATGGAGTACTAAATGTTGACGAAATTAAAAACTAATTGCACAGTTTGGTTGCACTTTGCGAGACGAACGTTTTGAGCCTAATTAGTGAACGACCGGACAATTATTACCAAATAAAAACAAAACGTCACTGTAGCTACAGTGAACTCTGAGGCGCCGATTCGACCGAACTAAACGTGGCCTTACTACCATACCAATTTTATCTACTCCTACCACTAACCTGAATTCCTGATTGCCTGTATTGTGTACCCCTAAATAACGAACGTTAAAGAAAAAGCCCAAGAAGAAACTTTTAAGACAACCGCTGGCAAAAAAAACTCAGCTCCATTGCGAGCGTGAAGCGTCACTCGTGGGCGCGTCCCGACCGCGTGCGGCGGGTCATGCCCTCGGCGGCGCCGATCTCGCCGGACCTCTGTCCTTCCCTCCCCGCGGCGCTGGACACGTCGGTCTGCGGCCGGCTAGTGGCGCCGTGCGCGCTGGCCGCCGCCTCGCTCGTGGCGGCGTCGTCGTCGCTGGAGCTGGACGACGACGGGTGCAGCCCGTACTCGCTCGTCGCCTCGCTCACGTAGCTTCTGCTCACGTTCTCAGTGAGGCGGAAGCCTCCGGTAGAGGAGGTCCCCGGCACGAACGCCATCCGCCTCATCCGCCGCAGCTGCTCGGCCGCGCCGTCGTCCACGACCTCGCTCTGCCCCGGCGCCACGCCGGCGTTCAGGGCCTCCACCGACACCTGCCCCTCCAGGAACCGCACGATCTGCTTTGTCCATGAATGAAAACAGCACGTGAACACTGATGTTAGCAAAGCTTCCTACAAAAAATCTGCAGCGAATGAAATCGTGTCTTGCAGCTTGGCCGCGATCGGTCGGTCACCTGGCTCATCTGCGGGCGGGACCGGGCCGTAGTCCGCACGGCGGCGGCGGCGCAGGCGATGAGCCGGCGCATGTCGACGCCGTCGTAGTCGGTGCCCAGGCTCGGGTCGGTCAGCCCGTCCAGGTCGTCCTCTTCGAGAGATCTTGTCAGCCTAGGCCTTGACTGCACCCAAAAATATTCACCGGCAGAAAGAATGGCAGGATTAGTCACCTCGCTCTGCGTGTACATTCAGTCAAAATTCAGAACAATGAGTCAAAATTCAGGGTAACTCACCCAAGAAGCCAGAGTCTCGTCGTTGTCTGGCTCGGGTGACAGGACAGGCGTCATCCCTGTTATCAGTTCCAGAAGCACGACTCCGAAGGAGTAGACGTCCGACCGGTCGGTTACTTTGCCGGTGGTGGCGTACTCCGGCGCCAAATATCTGAAAAACGAGCTCATCACTGACAATGCTTTCTAGTTCTACATTCATAAACTTCTTAGTCACTTGTTAACTCTATATGAATGTTGTGGAGCAACCAGTTTACCCGAAGGTTCCCATGACGCGCGTGGAGACGTGAGTGTCATCTGCGGGCTGGATCTTGGCCAACCCAAAGTCTGAAACCTGCACAACAAATGATCGTTTTCAGACAAAATGCATGCATGACCTCCAAAATTCACACACCGGCGAAGAATGAATCGATGTGATATGTGCTGAGATCACTTACCTTGGGCTCGAAATTGTAATCCAGAAGTATGTTTGCCGCCTTGATGTCACGGTGGATAATCTTAGGATCACCTGAAACCAACACGGCTCTCGATTAACACAACTAAACTACTAGTCTCAGAAGAAAAAGGAAAAAAAAATCAGACAAAGCTGAGTGCTGGGACTTACAGTCCTCGTGCAAGTAGGCCAACCCCTTGGCCGACCCCAGCGCGATCTTCCACCTCTGCTGCCAATCCAGCGCCGGGCGACCCACCCCTGGAACAATGCAAAACCATGTCAGGCGAGCCGTCCCCGTGCAACCGGCGGCAGCCAGACAAACCCTGCGGCAGCGAGCGAGCTATGCACGCATGGACACAAGGTAAAGTAAGCTGTCACGTTCACGTACCGTGCAGGTGGAGCTCTAGCGTCTTGTTGGGCACGTACTCATAGACGAGCAGGCGCTGGTCGCCGTGGATGCAGTAGCCGACGAGGGAGACGAGGTGGCGGTGGTGCACGCGGCTGATGATCTCCACCTCGGCGCGGAACTCCCGGTCGCCCTGCCTGCTCCCGGGCCGCAGCCGCTTGATGGCCACCTCCTCGCCGCCGCCGCCGCCCTCCAGCGTGCCGCGGTACACGTGCCCGAACCCGCCCTGCCCGAGCAGGTTCGCGTCGGAGAACCCGCCCGTCGCCGCGACCAGCTCCGCGTACGACACCGTGCCGCCCGTGACCGGCGGAGGAGGAGGGGGCGGCGGGCGCAGGGGACCCGAGAGAGCGCCGCTGCCGCTGCTGGTCTGCCACGACTGGCCGCCCACCATCTGCTGCGGCTGCGAGTACGACTGCGGCGTGGATTGTAGCTTCGCTGACGACGGCGGCTTTGATTGCTGGTGCGACGACGACACCGGCAGCCGGGGGCCGTAGACGTTGCCTGAGGATGTGAGGATGTTAGAACAACAGCAGCAGATAGCTAAAAGCTGAAAAAATCGTTGACGATTGCAGTGTCACGAAACACCAACACGTGAAATTTTGACTCTTTTTGGTCACAGTCATCACTGGGGCGGTCATGATTTGTGACGACGACTTAACAGTCTAGTCGATCTATAAGCAGAAATGCAACAAGAAAAGCAGTATGCAAGAATCAAACACATAAAGTGGCCAAATGACGCAGAGAACTCTAGATTGTATACACTTGTATGTATAGCCATTGCCGTTTCCGTGGACGAGTTCATCAACGATCGACTTTTACGCGGCAAGTTGCCATGGGTCACGCACTTGAAAAAGAAGCCTTGAATAGGCACATTGAGCAAGAGCACACGGTTTATCCTGAAAACCGGTCGGCCGGCCGTTCAGCTTCAACAGGACAACAACCAGCTCTCTGGTCAATGGTGTACGTGTCGCCATCGTCACCAACACCGGCAAAGGTTGTTCCTGTGACCCCGGCGGCGCACGAATGGCGAGTGCGCGTCGTGATGCGTCGTCCGAGCCGCCGGCCGCGGGCCCCGCTTGCGGGCACGCGATTTCTTACGTTGCTTGACGCGCGCGCGCACTCACGCACTCACGCGCGTGCACAAACCTAAAGCTTGCTAGCTACTGCGGTGGTGCGCTTGCACCGGCCAAGCCAGAGCGTGTCAAGCGTATGTATGGCGGTATGGGAGTGTTGGCATACGTACCGGACGGAGAGCTGCGGCGGCGTTGGCGGCGCTTCTTGAAGCAGCAGTAGATGAGGCCGGCTATGAGGCCGAGCACGACCACCGTTGCGACGGCCACGGAGACGCTGATCACAGTCCCATTTGAAGCTGATGGCGATGGTGGCGCCGGAGGTGTGAATGACGGCGAGGAAGGGTCATCATTTGGGGGCGACGGGATTACGCCAGGAGGAGCAGGAGGGGCATGGGGGGATGGCGGAACAGGAGACGGCGAGGGCAGCCGTCTGGGCGGCGCTGGAGGATCTGGCCCGAGTGGAGATGGCGTCGCTGGTGGTGGCTCCGGTGCCCTTCGCGGGGATGGTGGTATGTTTGGGGCCGGGACACCTGGGGGACATGGTGTCACTGGAGAAGGTGGTGACGGCCTTGGTGGCTCGGGCGACGCCGGGGAAGGCGGCGAAGGCAATGGTGGCGTTGGGATTGATGGAGATGGCGTCACTGGAGAAGGCGGCGACGGCACTGGCGGTGGCACTGGCGTCGCGGGAGAAGGCGGCGACGGCAATGGTGGTGGCACTGGCGTCACGGGAGAAGGCGGCGACGGCAATGGTGGTGCTGGTGTTGACGGTGATGGAGGAGTGGGTCCTGGTGGTAACGGCGCCATGGGAGGAGGAGGGGACGGCGTCGCTGGTGCTGGCACCACAGGGGATGGCGGCAATGGCGTCAGTGGCGCAGGCGTCACTGGAGGCGACGGCGTGGGCGTTGGTGCAGGCGCCGGTGGCGGTGATGGCGACGGCACTGATGGCGCAGGTGGCATTGGAGGCGCCGGAGCGGGCGTTGATGGTGAAGGCGGCATGATCAGAGGGGACGGCGTGGGCGTTGTTGGTGGCGCGGGGATCACTGGCGGCGATGGTGGAGGGATTACTGGCGGCAACGGCGTCGGTGTTGATGGCGCAGGCAACGGAGGTGGCATCACCGGCGGGGGTGTCCCCGGTGGAGATGGGGGCGGTGCTGACGGCGTGGCCGGCGCCACCGGTGCAGGCGGAGAAGGTATTGGTGGCTGCGTTATAGGAGGAGAAGCCGGAGGTGGTGCAGCTGGTGTCGCCGGTGGCAGAGGTGGTGGCAGCGGTATTGGAGGAGACGCCGGTGGTGCAGCTGGTGTCGCCGGTGGCTGCGGCGTAGGAGGAGACGCCGGCGGCGGCGGAGCAGCAGGCGTCACTGGTGATTGCGGGGGAGCCAGCGGAGCAGATGGTGTGGGTTGCGGGGGTGGAGTAGGTGGCGCCGGCGGGTCAGCTGGTGGTGCCGGTGGCGGCTGCGTAGAAGGGGAAGACGGCGGCGGATCAGTTGGCCAGCGGTGGAGGTGGAAGTGCCGGTGGAGCAGATGGAGTCGTCGGTGGCGGCTGCAGTGGAGGCGAGGGAAGCGGCAGGGCGGGTGGCGAAGAAGCCGGATGATCAGGCGGCGGGAACATCGGTGCCGGTGGGCCAGCAGGAGGAGGAGCCCCTGGAGGAAAAACAGCCGGCGGAGCAACCGGGGTCAGCGGCAGCGGCGGTGGCGGAACTACTGGCGCCTGCAGTGGTGGTGGAGCGGCCGGTGGCACCGTGGGTGATGGAAGCGACGGGGCGGCTGCAGCGGACGTGGTCGACGGCTCTGGAGTGCTTGGAGAAGGAGGCGACCGGGCTGGGGCTGCAGGAGGAGTAGTAGTAGATGGAGCCGAAGTATTGGACGGCGGGGCCGACATGGCGGCGTCTGCGCGGTCACTGCGCCCCGTCACGCGTCGCGGCGTGTAGGCCTGTAGCGAGGAGACCCCGTAGATTCCGTTCGCTTTTAAGCGTGGCGCCACTGTAGAACTTCCGAAATCTTAACAACCTTTTATTTCGTTTGGATTGGATTGTGATTAATAAGTGAAAACATATCCCAACAAATTTTGCAAGGCATTTTGACGAACAAAGAAAAATTCGCAACAAACCGCCGCCGCACGGCCATGCTATGGCAAGCGTGTTGCACGCCTGCACGGACCGACGAGAAGAACTAAGCTGGACTGTGACGGACGTCGCAAGTCCGCAACCAGAGAGAAAATCCGTAGCCCGTGCGCCTCGCCTCTTCCATGCCACACCGGCCCTATGGGAGCCCGACTACTGGACCGATCTGGCTCGCGCGATGTGCCGCAGTCCTAGCCTGCTGACGGCCCAAACGTTCATGGCAGCCCGTTCCAGATTATGCTATTTTTTTAGGAACGTTCCAGATTAGTATGCTTTTTGTTATACTAGCAAACATGCCCGTGCGTTACAACGGAAGAAAAAAAAAATCACAAAAATGTTACATATCCATTTATGTTTTATTCTTTTCATAAAATTTAAAGTTTATAATTCATTTTGATGAGCACGAAATATATAATACAAATTAGTATTGCCAATATATGATAATAAATAATATCCAATTAAATCTATATCCAAAAATAATACTTTGATAGAAACATTTCACCCATTGTAAGGCACACCGTAATTTTAGATTTGATAATATCTATATGTAGGTAGAGTTTAATATTGAGTTACAGCCCTTGTCGAGGATTGCACTGGTACTTATGTATAGCTTGTTCAAAATTTGCTCATTATTTGATTAAATGGATAATTGGTTGATTTGGGTTCTAACAAAAATAAGTTTTGTTCATAATCAAAACTATATCAACAACCTAGCGGTAGGAATATTTATTTAGTAATGAAAGATAAGTATATTTATTATTTGTTTTCTACGGAAGGACAAATAAAATGAAAAAATCAAAAGGCATGGGCAAAAAAAATTGGTCGCATATCTTTTTGCATGCATGCCCATACCATCCCCATGCATATGTGAGTCCGTGACGATAATAACGGGCCACATGGTACATGTTCCTCAAGGAAAACAGGTATGGAGAAATAGGTCACGCCAACCCACGACAGCGAGTCCATCTTTGTAGTCAGACAAAAACTTTTCATGATTTAATATTCAGAGGCGAACTGAGTTGACAAAAAAAGGTCTTCATGATTTCTATTTTATCCTTTTCTATTTGTTATTGGTATTCGTATTCAACTTACTCATGATGGGAGAGATCTATCGGGATTAGGATTTCGGTTACCTAGGATATTTTTGGGGACTTTTTTGTTAGTCTTTTTTCTTGACCAGCGGCTTATTTTTATTTAGACAAATACGGCACTGCTGGCTGGCGTGAGATTTGGGGTTCTGGGATTTTTTTCTTCTTGTGCACGCTCTATTCGTTTTTCTTTATTAGCGTAGAGAAGTTTTTTGTTTGATTTTCTTCCGTTGCTTTACAGTATCTGATTAGGTTTCGTTTTTTTTTTCATGGTCTACTTTTTCCACATCCCATTGGTTCCGTCACTCGTGATTGGTTTTCAATCCGTCACTTTGTTCCCATTTTCCAATTTCCAATATAAATATTAAAAAACATAGGAATCTAGACTTCCAGTTTCTAACCTAATACGTTTTGGAATTGGACTCCATGTTACGCTAGACAAGAGCTATATTCTAACTTGTTTGAGCACGGTATATATATATATATATATATATAAATAAGTCAGGATGGAAGAAACTCTCCATTGTCGGATAGTTAGATGGAGGTCAAAAAAATGGATGGACAAAAAAAAAATAGGCTGAATTTTTGCGTTTTTATTAGCAGGTATAGATATAGATACAATCAGGAGAGAGACGGCATCGAAATCGCACGGTGTCTTAAATTTGTCGTCTTGTCATCTTGATGAGTTCTTGACAGCGTACTGTGGCTCCGGAACACAAATTCCAGAAGATGGGCTTCAGTTGGGTGCAACCATCTGATCCGATTTCGTGTTCACGATTGATGATATATTTCGCTTCAAAAGACAAGGATAAGTTTATCTCCCAGCAAGCAGACTTGTTTAAGTGTTACAAGTCCCGCTTGGTATGGCTCAAAACGCTCATAGGCTTTTATTATAGTGCTCCGAGCTGAAGCTAGTGAAACAAAAAAAAAAAAAATCGGATTGAAACGATTGCTTTGCTAAAATGCATGGAGGAGTCGGAGCCAGCCGAAGCTTCACCAAAACCGGGATCTGGTTCATTGCCGCAACACTCGCACCGTAGATATGGCAGACTCTGGCTGGTGTTTGGATGCTGACGAAGTTAAGGCATGCCGTAACCAAACCGCACTAGCCTAGTTCAAATTTGCTGCCACACCTCGCCAAATGTGCGGCGAGCGTTTTCAACGCCAAACTTCTGGCGCAGCCGCAGGTTGGGCACGGCAGGCATAGGCGCCGTCCAAACAGGCCCGAAATGTCTAGCTACCAGATTTTGAAACATTAGTATGTGTGGCAAATTTGGCAACTTTTGATTAATTTGTTTCACACTTAGACAAGAGTTATATGCAACTAACTCGTCAACTCAGCTCGTGTTACGGTAGGCCAGTTGGGTTCCCGTTATATACAGCTAAGGATGCAAATGGATATTTAATTGTGCTTAATTTATTTCTGAAGTAAAATTAATTATGTGGCGTGTCATCTTGTTTTATTTTAGCAAGTTTTTGGTTGAGATCCAATAATACAAAACATATACGGTACTCCATCTATCCTAAATTATAAGACGTTTTGATATTCCAAAATACAATTTTTTTATTATATATCTAGCTAGATATAATATATATTTAAATGCGTAACAAAAGTTAGGGAATATAGAAAAGCCAAAGTGCTCTATAATTTAGAACCGAGATAGTAGAACTTATATATGTCTGTATACAACGTTATCATTGAACCTTCTTTCTTTCTCAGTGTAGTGACCGGAATTCATCTCCATCATTCATTAATGTTCCTTATTTTTTTTCCTTTGATGCTGAAGCCCTATGTAGGAGCATATTGGAGTGGGTGTGCAACTTTGAATATTGTAGCTGATGTAGTGGTGTGTGTTCGTACTCCCTCCGTTCCCAAAATAACTGTCGCAGTTGATGTGCGTATCGCAAGTTTGACCTGATTTATAGAAAATACGTGCAATATTTGTATTTCCAAATAAATTTATTAAAAAACTAGATTCAAAAATCTTTCCAATGATATTAATTATATATCATAAATATTAATATATTTTAATATATATTTAGTTAAAGTTATTTCTCGGAAAACGAAAACGAGACAGAGGAGCACGTTGAGAGTTGAGACTACATGTACGGTCCACATTTTAGGTGCAAGTGTACAGCGGGGTTGGCACTGTCTTCAGCTAGCTTGCACAGCAATGATCCTTTCATAGGAAGCACCGTCGCATGATTGGGGTGGTCCTCTCTCACTAACTATGCATTTAAGCTCCAGTGATTATTGTTGCTAATGATGGGCGATCAACAACTTTCCAGAAAGGATACAGGATAAAGCTAGTAGATATACTACACCTCCGTTTCTTTTTTTCTATTAATAAAGTTTATCAGCCGGAGTAGCAACGAGGAGCGCATAAACAACTTGATAATGTACTAGCATTTTGGCTTGATATTCAGTGTCGTGTCTACTGCCACTTTTACTCGGGTCTCATTCCGAACCTCACCCCACCCCAACCCGCACCCCATCAAGAGAAGACTTATACGTTGTCTATTGTCAAAACATGTACTCTTCTGTGCTAAAATACAAAGGTATTTATAACACCTTGTGTTTTTCTTTATGTTGCAACCCACTAAAAATTTATTTTTTAAAAAAAATTGTAAACAAACTAAAAAAATATTTTCTTGTTTACATGCGAAACCGTTTTTAAAATGTTTTTAGAGCTAGCATTAAAATTCATCATATTCATTTTTTTGGGGTTTGTGTGTTTTCCTAAATTTAGGGTGTGTTTGGGAGGGTTCCTCTCCGTGAGCTTATTCGGAGAAGCCAGAGCTGTTTTGGAGAAGCCACATTTCTTTTTTCTACTGAAAAAGTGTTCAAAACGGCTCCTCCATCTAAACTGTTTGGCACAGCTCCTCCGGAGGAGCCAGAGCCGGAGCCGAGGAGAAGCCCTGCCAAATAGGCCCATGTTTGTGGCACCGAAACACCTCTTTCAAATTCCAAATCAAATCCCTCAAAACACTCCTCCCATAGGGATTTTTTAACACTTTTTGTAAACTAATTTTAAATCTAACACTATTTTTTTTTTCAAAACTAACACTTTTGGCCGCGCCTATTTCCCTGGCGCGGCGAAACGCCTGTGCCGCGCTATGCATGGTGGCGCGACTAGAGGAATGATGTGGCGACGATCGGGGCGCTGACCGGTGACGTGACAGGGTCTACCGCACCACCAATCTGGGCGCGGCACTGACGCGCTATGGAGAATGGCGCGACGAGGCAAAGGTAGGCATGGCTGGAGCATAGGCTTGCCCGCGCGGCCTCGGCATGGCATCTAGGCCTGCTCATTGTAGCGGTGACGCTGATGGAGCATGTGATACCTTCCAGCTGCGTGTTCGATGGACGATGAAGATAATTAATTAAAGAAGCCTTCGGCCATCAAGGATGCTTTTTGCTTGCAAGACTCAGTAGTCACATCCCTTGCTAGAGCACTATAGCCACAGTAGGTGTGCTAGTGCTACACCCTAGCAATCCTATGCTGCATGATGTACCTATAATTTCTTTCTCTTTCATCTATTCCTATATTGATAGCTCTACGGGCTGAAACTGGTGAAGGCTTCTTTAATTAAAAAAAAGTGACAGAGCCTATCAGTCACAGACAGAAATGGGTAATGCAACATGTTAAAAAACGTGTTTTTTGGTATATTTTATGAAACATTGACAGTGATGGATTGTTGTCTGTATATTTATATGTGACTAGATACAGCAAGGAAGATACATACTGCAACTCAGGATAGAACCGGTCCACCACAGCGCGGTGGGACTAAAAGAACTGCAAACAGGACGCCATTAGGTACTATTAAATCCGTTCTAAATTATAGTTCGTTTGACTTTTTTAAGCATAAGTTTGACTACTCGTCTTTTTCAAAAATTTGTGCTAAATATCACTTCTTTTGTTGTTGCTTACTTTATTAACAAAAGTTTTTTTTTAAGAATGACTTAAATTTGACTATATTTGCACAAATTTTTTGAATAAAACGAGTGGTCAAACTTAGGGTCAAAAAAGTCAAACGAATTATTATTTGGAACGGAGGGACTACAAAAAAGAAGGGAATTTTATGAGTTCACATTTCTCGACACCAAACAAAAATAGCTAATGGTAATTCTGAAATTGCAGCTATAAGAAGGGCATGGCTGGCAAGTGACACTGGTGAAGAAGCATATGACGAACAGTGGTGGAATGCAAGTTGGAAGCAGGATTGTCCCAACTGCAGTCATATGAAAACTAGTACAGGTAAAAAAAATCTAAAAAAGAAATATACATTAATTGAGTTCAATTCAAATATAAAAGGGAAAATTGCTGATTTCTTTCTTGTTAAAGTACAAAGTGAAAAGAAGGGAACGAGAATTGTGGAAATCTGTGAACAAAGAAAGGGTGGCAGAACAAAGCATATGGCGCACAAAACATTGATAGGTAACAAACAGTTGCTGTGATAGTGAAAGCCAATTTATTAAAATCGAGTTAGCTTACAATTTTTTTTACAGCGAAGAAAAAAAAAGGTGGACGAGAACCCAGTGAAACAATACAAAAATCTGACAAAAGAAGATTCAGAAGGAAGTGAAGCAGAAGAATGAAAGTAGGTACCAGTGCAAATGGAACAGGTACTGCAGATGTCAAGGGCAAGAAAGCGATGAACTATTTCATTTCAAAGAACTTCTACAAGAGTTGCTGGCAAATTTAATGTAGTGAGAATAAAGTTGTATTAAACTGTGAAACTATGTTGGGTGATGCTTGTAGCATACTCCCTCCGTCCCCAAATGCAAGTCGTTGTATGATTAAAAAATTGTCTTACAATACTTGACGTTATAGGCCAACATATCAGTCTAATCATAGCCAACTTACATCAAGCGGTCAGATCCTGTCCTCCACTCACCTGAAAGATGGATTAAAAAGCAAAAAAAAAAAAAAAACGTGTACTGATGATCTCTACAGTATGGAGAATTGAATAGAAAAGTATTTCCTAGCTGGAGCGTTGCTCCCGAACTCCACTCTGCAGCACGTCACCATCACCTGCGAGATTGTCGTGTAGGGGTGTTAGGGTCTTCTTGCTTGGGCATTGGTCTTCGTAATAGCTTCTACAACGTCCTTTAATCTGGGACAGAGGGAGTACACTTTTAAATGTTTGCAGCTGAGACCAAAGTTGTTGTCCGTGGGTAACGAAATCTATTAGCTGGCAAAAAAGTACTGCGATGTCAAAACGACAAAGGAAAAGTAGTACAATTAGAAATAAAAAGGGAAAAACTAATGATACCTATATAAAATTAAGTAATGCGATGTAATATTTTGTTACATGGAAATTAACTAGATTATGACCAAATAAAGTTTTAACCAGTAGAACTATCGACATAGAAATAGATGAAAGAGAAAGAAATTATAGATACATCATGCAGCATAGGATTGCTAGGGTGCAGCACCAGCACACATACTGTGGCTACAGTGCTCTAGCAAGGGATGTGACTACTGATTTTTGCAAGCAAAAAGCATGCATTGATGGGCGAAGGCTTCTTTAATTAATTCTCTCCATCGTGGATATACAGCTGGAAGGCATCGCATGCTCCGTCAGCGTCACCGCTACAATGAGCAGGCCTAGATGCCATGTCGAGGCCGTGCGGGCAGGCCTATGCTCCGGCCATGCCTAGCTTTGCCTCGCCGCGCCATTCTCCATGGCACGTCAGTGCCGCGTCCAGATCGGTGGACCACCATTTCTAGCTTATTTTTTTGTTTTGACATATTTGTTGTTTTGGGGTTTGTAGACTTCTTTTTTTTAAAAAAAACACACCCCCTTTTGTTTTAGAAAACCTCTCTTCAAAATCTTGTTTTATCCATATCTTGAAGTCTCTCTTCAAAATCCTATTTCTTTCTTATTTTGAAAATTCATTTTTTAATCTTATTCATTCTTATTTGGAATGTCTACTTCAAAATCCTGCTTTACTTACTTTCAAATTTCTTTTTGTTCCGTTTTGTATAACTTTCTTTTCAAGTTTATCTTTTGAAAACTAGCTTGCCGGTTACTGCATACCATTCTGAGCATTCTGTTCTGAAACCTAAACCCCTTCTTAACCAATTCCCATCCCCATCTAAACACCCTAAAATCCTACCCCAGCTAAACCAATCCTGGGTTAGAGCTTGTTGAGTATTTTATGTAGTTAACCTTAACCCTATACTATGTTGTGTTTTTAGGAACGAAGTTGTAGGAGTGTATGCAAGGATACATCAGATTGACATCGTAAAGCCCACAGAAGGGGGAAGGTGCAAGCGTTCATACAAGATTAAAGATATAAAATGCACAATAGATCTGTCCTCGTTCCAAAAATTTATGTTCCCATATTGTTCGGTTTTTTAAGTCCCACTTTCTTTTTTTTGTCCTCACCTCTTTGTAAACTTCTCTCTTCTCTTGGGTCATCTCCTCTCCCTAGTCACCGGATGCTATGCCTCTCCTTTAGTTCTCCCTAAGCTAGCGGCTATGCTCCTCCTCTATGTCGGTACCCCCTCTCCCATGTCATGCCCAAGCCCGTCCCTACTCAATCACACTGGCGTCTGCTCCCCTATGTCGACTTGCATCTCGCTCCTCCTTGATCATGCCAGCAGTGGTGCAAACGGGAGAAAGCAACATGTGTTCACAATTCGCAAGCGCCGATGAGACAATCACAATTCTCCCTAAGCTAGCGACTCTCGCGAGGTCCAATGACAACTTTTTCTCTTCCTTTATTTTCTCTCTTTTCCATATAAGATACAAGTTAAATTAGGTCTCATTTGGTAGCGGTTCGGATTTTGGTGCACTGTAGCAGCAAGTTATTTTTATATCTTCTTTCAAATTGAACTAGGAGCTGATAAAGCCACTATTTTTTATGGTTTATTGGCTCCGGCTCCAGCTCCGGTTCCTTGTATACTCTAAATCTCTAACAAGGAGTTAGAAGTAGCTTGGAATCGTGCTAAAGAGGGTCTTAGAAGGTTAGAGTCTTTATAGAGAGTTAGCGTGGCAGTGTTGAGGATGCTCTTATGACAAAACTAGATGTATTCATATTTGTGATCACTAATCGGAGAAAATACTAATACTTTATTAGAGTAACATTAGATCCTAATTTTGGGAACTCACACTGATTAGCTGGTATTGTACGGTGGTATTCATATGCACGGCCGCTGGTACTGTCTCGCAGCTCGATATAAAGTGACCAGTGAACGTGAACCACCTCGACCTCTCCATCCCACACTGGCACAAGCGCAGCAGACACACACACATCTTCCTCAGCAGGCGCCTCTCACTCTCGGTCTCTCCCCTCCTCTCACGCCATGGCCCTGGACATGGACAGCGAGCCGTCCACTCCGACGACCCAGTCCTCCTACTTCTCGGGCTGCATGATCTCCCCAGCGTGGCTGCCGCCGGGCGTGCGCCGGAGCCCCGCGCGCTTCCAGCTGCTCGGCTGCGGGGACGACGCCGCGGGCCGCGGCGGCGGGCGACGCGCGTGGAGAGGGCTGCTCCGGCGGCTGGTGCGGGAGAGTAAGAGCATCTGCAGCAACGCCTGCAGGGCGCCCGTCGCGGCCACCTTCAAGTACGACGCCGACAGCTACGCCAAGAACTTCGACGACGGCCGCTGGCACCGGCCCTGCGGCGCCGCAGCCGCCGCTGGTTGCCCCTCGCCGTCGCCGCTGTCGAGCCGGCGCCCGGTTGATAAGTCCACCGGAGAGAGCTAGCTAGCTTCTAGTTGTGCTAGTAGATTCTTTCTTATCTTTTCCCGCACTTGTTGTCTGGTTAGTTGAGTTGTAGCTGTTGATCTTGAAACGGTCGTTGCAACGCCGGTGTCGAGGATGATGGGTTCATCAGTCATCACCATGCCGTTGCTTCTTGGTTGTACAGAGGATTGGAGATGTCTCAAACAGAGTTCGTCTTGGAAAAACTCCTTCGTGTGAATCGTGCGTCCCACCCTCGCTCTCGATTTCGCTTGTGTTCATGACTTCTTGTGAATCGTGATGAACTGATGATCCGTGTTTTTTTATCAAAAAAAATCAGCCCACTGTCCTAGGAAGGAGCACTGAAGCACTCATCACTGATTAGACAAGAATTAATTTGGTTAGAAGGGAATGCGGTTATGGGAGTGGCACAACGAATTGTTTAACATGAAAGTGAGCAAAAAGCAACGCGGAGCAGATCAACCACCTGAGGAAAAAATCAAGCTGTAACCAATAAATACTATATCGCCATGATATCGATGCATCAAGAGCGAGATGATCGAAAAAGCAAAGCCTCACTGTCAGAGTGATGTCTAGTCAGCATCAAACTCGATAACTAAACCGTGTGGAATTAATCAATGGATTTGCTCTGCATCTGATGTCAGTAGCGTTAGTGACATCATATCTGATTTCTTCAGGGCAAGCAATAGATATCCCTTGCTTTGCTTGCAAAGCGAATTAAAACAGCCGGTCCCGGTGTAGACGAGGGCGGGATCTTTTGGATCTCTGGCGCCTGTTCGGTCAAATCCGTCTTGACCTGGCATTTCCGGCACGGCATTGCTTGTGGCAAGAGCAAGAGCCATTGGTTGGTTCGTCCTGAACTTTGATGCCGTGCTATCTGAAACCGAACTACATGCGGCTGGCAGCATTGATGACACTAGCTAGCTTACCAACAGCATTACTACATCATTAGCATATAGTAATGTGGAACAGCATTACATCAAGGCCTAAATCCGTAGCAACAGTAGTATCACTGTAGAGGCTTATTATGGCAGGCTTCACGTGAGGCTGTGCACTGTTCGGAGGTCTGACGAGTCGACCTAGATGTGCAGTGCGACGATCGCGTACCAGCACGACCTCGATGTTAGCTGCGGAGGCTTCACGCGAGGCTGTGCCTACTCGAGTTTGCTCTTCATTAATAAACTATTATTCGCTACTCTATATAACAGTGACTCCGTGGCCCAATGGATAAGAATAAGACGCTGATCTACGGAACCAGAGATTCTGGGTTCGATCTCCTGCCGAGACGATTCATTTTGTTCTTTTCACCATTCCAAACTGATTTTTCTTTTCTATTTTCACCAGATTTGACTCTTTTGTTTTTTCACCTATATCTTTATTTTTACCATGTCAAACTGATTTATCTTTTTTCTTTTACCTATATCTAGTTTCTTTACCATGCCAAAATGATTTATTTTTTTTACCATGCCAAACTAATTTATCAATTTCTTTTTTTTTCGCCGGACTCGACGTACTCTTTTGTTTTTCACCTATATCTAGATTTTTACCATGTCAAACTGATTTATCTTTTTTTATTTTACTTATATCCATTTTTTTTGCCATGCCAGACTTATTTATTTTTCCATTTTTACACCGGACTGTTTTTTTTCACAAATATCCAGTTTTCTTTTACCTATATCTAGTTTCTTTACCATGCCAAAATGATTTATTTTTTTTACCATGCCAAACTAATTTACCTATTTCTTTTTTTTTTCACCGGACTCGACGTACTCTTTTGTTTTTCACATATATCTAGATTTTTACCATGTCAAACTGATTTATCTTTTTTTATTTTACTTATATCCAGTTTTTTTTTTTGCCATGCCAGACTTATTTATTTTTCCATTTTTACACCGGACTCTTTTTTCACAAATATCCAGTTTTTTGCCCTAAATAGCCCAGTTTTTTACAATGTTAAACTATATATTTTTTATTTTACCAAAAACTAATCTATATCTATACTATAAAAGAGCGAAGGAATTGAAAATAGCCTCTCACTCTCATATTCATATCCGTCTTAATTATTGTACCTTAGATCTATATTAAAATTAGATCCAATGCATCTAAAATTTTCACTGTGATCTGACATACGGACCTAGCGGAAAACTGGTAAACGTTTACGCGTGTTTCTCTCTTACGACCGTGCTCCCCTCAAGTTTTTTTTCACCGGTAATTTTTCTACCCACCCTTTACAATTTTCCACCGATGCCGATCCAATCCCTCCATCTATCACGTTAGTTATTACTCCGGTGATAGATCGATGCCAAGTCCTGCGACCTCCTCTCCCGTCGCCTCAGCCTCCGCGTGGCCCGAAGGCTGCAGCGGCCGTGGACAAGGCAGAGGCGGTGCTGAAGGAGGAGGTGAGCAATGGTCTCTCGGCTCCTTCCATTCGCATAGAGGATGGCTGTCGAGGTCCTGCTGTCGTGTCTATTGTTCTAAATGTTCTCCTGCTTCAATTTTGCTAAGCTTTTGACACATAGGAACTGACTTCGTGGAGCAATCTGAGTTGAAATAAAGGTCTTTGTCGTTATGATCGAACTGACTTCGTGGAGCAATCTGAGTTGAAATAAAGGTCTTTGTCGTTATGATCGTAGGCTTAGCTTTCTTCAAAGATTCTGTTCCTCATAGGTATGATTTGATCAGATTTGAATTTTTTGTTGACGTAATATGAGTTTGCAATTGGACAGGCCGCAGGTGGGGAATGAGAGAAGCTTCCAGTTGACTGAAGAAGAAGACGTGCTTCGTGCTTCTCAAGCTGTGCTTCTGATTGCAAACTCCATGATATCTACGACACAAGTGATTTTCTCAAGCTGTGCTTCTCGACTTTCAAAGTAAGCCCCCAAATTGATCTAGCAGCTCCGCAAGAGTCAAGAACATTGTTTTTCTTAATAATTTTAGGAGCCTGTCTTTGTTGGAAGTTCAGGTACTGCCTGTACTTTTCTTCGGTGCTAAATATGGGGGCCTTGTTACAGTGTGGAGGCTCGTAGCTGCAGGTATAATCGAATGCACAAGGTACAAAAACCCCGGATATCAAGGGCAGACCATATGGGCTGTGCTCCTAGGGGCGGCCCAGCCCACAAGACGAAGCCTTGCGGGGCACGACGCTGCTCGGCGTCTCCCACAAGACACTAAGAAGATATCCTGAAGATACTACGAGATCTATTAGGATACGTATGATCCCATGGTTCCTGTAATCTGTTATTACTTTTCGGTTATCTCCTACATCTAACCGACTTGTAACCCTGCCCCCTAGACTATATAAGGCGGACAGGGACCCCCTCCAAAAGCACGCAATATCATACGATAGCCAATACAATCCAGCAGAACATAGGAGTAGGGTATTACGTCGTGCTAACGGTCCGAACCTGTCTAACTCGTGTGTCTCTGTTGCCTTCTTGTTCTCGATTACACACATCTCTGCTGATCAATCTACCTTCGTGGGATACCCCTCGGAGGACTGCCGATGATATTCTGTCGATAGTTGGCACGCCAGGTAGGGGTGTGCGTGTTGTTTCCTTGTCGAACAAGATGGTATTTTCCGTAGGCTCTTCGTCTCTCCCGCAACCCGGCCAGATCTTCACGGTCAGATCTTCTCGTCGGAGAGCTCATTGAGTCGGTGCAGATCGATACTGTGCCGATCACCCCAATGCCTACGACTGTAGATCCAATCTCGAAGCCACCTCCGAGGTCGCCTTCATCGACAACTCACCGCCTGCTTCCCCGCTACCCGAGGAGGCAGATCAACAACGACGATCTAATCACATCCATTGATCAGGTTGCCCAGAAGCTCTCCGATTACCTCTCTATCACCGAATCGGCTCTGACCACTCTGGTTCAGCGCCGACCACCCTCTGATCCAGATCTATTGGAGGTTGCTCGGGAAACTCCAGGGGTTACGGCCCTACCCTTCGGGCTCACCAGCGCCGCCACCACCTATCAAGATGCCCTAAGGGGCAAAATCGCCGACCAGGTGGGAGATATCCATCATCTCATCGACCAGCTCTCTCCAACTGTCAACATGCTACACCTCGGCCGATGCCCCAAAACATCCCTCCAAACCATCTTGGAGGAAAGTTTGGACTCCGAGTCCCAAGGCTCTACGGAGACCGTCGCCGAAACCACCACCATGCAACCTCCTCTCCTGCCCTTCCGTGGAGGTGGAATCTTCAACGTCAGCGTCGATAGCCCCCCACGGAACAGGGAAACCAAGGAGGAACGCGCTGCTCGCGTCAACCGCACGCAGCGCCGAGCAAACAAGCCTACCCTTGCGCAAGCCGAGGCTCAGCTCGACTCACAAGGAAGGCCATGCCAACTCCAACGCAACCTCGACAAATGAATTTGTCCATGTTGACGGCCACGACGTCTACAAGACCCCAAGCGCCAACTTGGTCGTGGCCGCCAACGAGCTCGCCCGACTCCCGCAGACATCGGAGGTCGCCAAGGTCACCGCCATGCTTAAAGCGGCGCACTACTAGGTCAATGAGATCCGCCAGGATCAGAGGCCTTCATACTCCACAAGCTCAATTCGCCGATCAGCTGCGCTAAGATCTGATCGCCGCCCAAGTCATTTCACCGACCAGCACCGCGACGACAGACAACCCCTCCAGGGGGGAGCTAGGGGCAACCGCATCAAACACCCTCGCCAACACGACCAGGAGGTCGACCAGGACGTCTGAGCGCACCTCAACAATCTCCGAGACGCGCAATGACGTATCGACGAGCGCCGTTTCGGTCATCATGAAGAAGAAGTACGCCGCCGCCAAGAGTACGAGCAAGAGTTCGGTAACATGGACTCAGCTCTCGAGCCGCTCAACGCCGGCAATACTACAGATCACGGCACCGACAATCCCAAAGGGCCCCCAGCATTCATGAGGGCACTCCGAACACTCCAGTGGTCCTGTGGCTTCAAAATCACGGGGGTCGAGCCCTACGAGGGGTGGATTAACCCCACACAGTGGCTACAA